CATTTCAATCGTTTAAGAGAAAATTTTCAAGTATTTGATTTTCAATTAAGTCATCAGGATATGAGAAATCTTACTAACTATGGTTATCAACGACAAGCTCATTCAGGATGGGATCCAACTAATAATGATTGGAATCAATTTGGACCAACTTATTAGACAGAAACAAAACTTTTTTATATTTGAAATAAAATAAAATAAAAAATTCTAATTATTCGACATAGCAGATAAATCGAGTACAGGTGATCCATCTTGTCCAGCATATTTTGTTATAATTGCAGTTATTTGTCCACGATGATGAGTATTATGATTAAATATATGATCTAAGGCTTCAGCACGATTACGTTCTTGTTTATTACCTTCTGTATCAATATATTGAAATTTTTCTTCCGCCATTAAACTTTCGGAATTTAATTCTTTTACATAATCAATCCATCGATCACATTCGATTATGATTTGATTATATACATCTTTACGATCTTGAATAGCTTGCTCCCATTCATTTGCTGAACGAGACCAATAAGAATTTATTTCATATGGATATTTTTCATCTTCAAGAGGATTTGATGATGAACTAGTTAAACGGGAATACCAAAGTTTGCTTGACAATAATAAATGAACTAATGTACCATGAATTGATAGAAAGTAAAGATTATTATCAGCATAATAATTTTCATTAGAAATATGTTTGTCTAATTTATCATAGAGTTGCTGAAAAGCCCATCGATTATAGATAGCCATACGAATAAAATGTTGCTTGTATGCATTCATTTTGTCCTCTGAATAGTTTAATTTTATCTAAATAGTATACGCCATAGTTCGAGTACGCATTGTGAAGTACCTTTATTAAACCAGCTGTTACCTCAATTTTATTATATACTCAGACGAAGAGGACATCTATTGATAAGTTATGAATTAATTTAAATCCATAGGTTGTTTGGAAAAAGATTTTCTCATTTTTAGAATTCTAAAATCAATGTTCTCTAACTTTCGCTGGCACTTAGCATTTGAAAAAAACTTTGAGGAATGTCTAATCAATATATTTAAAAGTTGATTTTTCTATCAAAGTTATAAAAAAATTCAATGAAAACTTGTTTGATCTCGATTAAGGTTAACCATTTAATTCTATACATAAACTTGGTTGAGCATTTTTTTGTGATAATAAGTCATTGTTTATATGTAATATCTGTTAAACAAAAAAAAACTGACTAGCATGACATGTAATGTTTTTTTTAAGCTTTAGATCAAGTATACATCCTACGTCTGATCTTTCAGTTGATATATATCATTTCTATCAAAGTTAGAAATGAGCTGGGCCTTTCGAGTTCATGTTTGATTTAGTTCTATTCAAACAATAATGATGAAAATAAACTTCATTGTCACATTTTAATGCTTAATACACATTCATTTGAATGTTCTTTTCCTGGAGGCTTGTTTGTTAACTATTAACACGCAATTGTTTGTATAAAAGTTAACATTTTACCATTTATATTCAGTAGTTTTTCTAGATTTTAAGTTCGGTTTGATTCACTTCTGAGTTTGAATTACGTTCTTATGAATATTTTAATATTTTTGTTTAATTTATAAATGGAAGGTTATAGATAATAATTGAATTAGACAAAAAAAATTGTTGAAATATTTTTAACATATATGTTTCAATCAAGGTATAGAACAATCGTTCTTATTCTCTTTGATAGATCCATTTCTTTATCTGCATGCCTAGACTTTGGCACAGAGATGTACATAATATATACGGTGTGGAAAAATATAAAAGAGATTCAGATATATAAGACACGATCTTCAACGACTCTATACAAGGTTAGATATTCATGTAGAGTTGAGATATGCGATATTGTATACGATCGCTTACAATTGTTCTTACCCTTGTACTAATTGATATTTGCTTTTTTAAACGTGGCAGACCTTGTTTTTTTAATCGTTTTTCGCCAACTATATTCTTGTACGGTAAATTAAAAAAAAATATGTATTTAAAAAAATTCTTATTTATGCGGATTAGTTCTAATATATTCGAAACCTTTTGATAGTAACTTTTTTTTCTACAGTTTTATTCGTTAATTCGTTTCTTTTTCATCATTACAAATTCTTACGGACAAGAGTGCAGAACTTATTAAATAGTCGTATTATATGTTGAGTGTTTTTTTTAAAGAATCAGGAAGCTCACAATATTCAGTGTTATCTCCAGTATTTTTCAGATCATTTTATAAAGCACATAAAAATCATAGGGTTCTTATTGGTTTCTTTTTCAGTAAATGTCAATTAAATAGTATTAGCGAGAAAAATAGAATAAAATGGCACTCAAAATAAATTTCTACGTTTCAAAAAAAAATGATATCTAAATATTTTTTTCTCGTGTATTTCCAATAAATTTGATAAGCATAAAGAGTAATATAAATTTTAATGGTTTCTATCAAAATTAGAATTTGTTTTTTGTTCATCGATTTTAATTATTGATTGATCTTGAAAAATAGGAGATACACCACTGACAAAAAGTATTCGCGCTCGAATGTTAGTTCCAACAAGACCTACATGCCTAAAAATTCGTCTGCAGATAGTTCATAGAAAATATAGGTCAGTGGTAATATCGGCATCAAAAGTGCTTTAGCTAGAACAGAGTTATAATAGGTATTATCCATGATCATTATAAATCTCATAACTAAAGAATACAAAAATTTATCCAGAGTGTGGGTGTGGATCTAAATCGTTCCGTTAGCTACACTCACACCCAGATTAGACGAATGCATTTGAGAAAATCCTTGTATTTCTTTTCTATCCCCAGTAAAGATCGACAAATCTTACTTATTCATTGTCAATAAAGTCGAGTAATTGCAAAACTAGATAAAAAAAGTGGCATGTGTGGTTGACAGAGGAAAAGTTGTTACTGTTTGAAAATTCAATCGATCAATGATTAACATTGCAATGATTGATAGTGAATAAATTAAAATTATCAATGAAAATTTTTTTCACTGTGATTTTTCTTCAAATCAAAAACATGTTCATCTAGTTTTGGAAGAAAGTGATGTACCAACCAAAAAACATCTAATCTTTATTTTCTTTGCCACAGAAAAGATGTTTTGATGCGAAAAATTCAAAAATTTACCTCATCGCAATACTTTCTTGACCAATATAGACAAAAAATTTTTAGAATAGTGCTAACTCTTTTTGTTCTATTCGATTCAGGCCGATGCAAAGATTTGATTTTTTTGAAGTCAAATGACGCGACATGAGTCTCACGGATACAAAAAAATTAAATTGAACAAAGTTGAATTCACAACAGGTTCTAATGGCATAGCCTAGAATTGCGATGAACACTCATATGATACAATTTGTGGCTTGTTGATTTAAAGTTTCATTAAAACGCAATAATTTCAAGAGGTATCCCATATTATCACCGTAAAATTTTCACGTTTTGAACTATCTTATTTGTTTGTTTCTAGTTCAAAAAAGTTTTATATGTTTTCAATGAAATGCCGTTTGAAAAATATCATTTATTAACTAACAGAGCGCTGCTGTAGACTCAATTATTAATGATTTGTCATACAGTTATTTACACGAAGTGATCACAAAAATTTCTTCACTCACTGATATCGCGTGTTAGAAGAGAATAAGTTCGATGATCAAAATTGAATTGAGTCGAGTCAAAGTGGTTTTCACCTTGAAATTCGACTTGTAGCTTTCGTTCGCTATCCTAACAAAGCTTCTATATCTCAATTGTTTATCGACGATTAAATTTAATGCCTTTGATAGGCGCTTTCCTCAAGTTTTATTCTATGAGAAAGTTTCCTTCTTATGCTGGAAGACTATTTTGATGTTTCTTTTTGAATATACGTTGAATTTTCAGAACAGGAAGCAACTCTATTTATTTCCATCTGAAAAAGATACGCTTCTACGCTTTGTTATTGCATTTATTCAAATAGAAATTTTCATTTATGGAAATTTTTGTTGAACAAGTAGATAAATGAACAGAATATTCAAAAAGAAAGCGATTTCAAATTGATGTCTTATATATAACTATACATGCTTCATATTACATATGCCATCACGATCAAGTATTTGAATTTAACGTATTGTATATTTACATTGGATTTTTGGTAATGGTCGATATTTTGTAGTCGAACGTGTTCTATGCATTTTCTTTAATTCCGAAACTTTTTTCTTTTTCTCTTGAAAAAGCGAAAGATTGTTGAGTAGTGTCCATATGTATTCCCATCTATCAAAGAATATTTTGATTTCATCCATAAATAGATCATGCAAATCGACAAGTATAGTGTTTCGCGTTTCATCAATTATAGATTCGTATTGATACAACTTGTTCAGAGTAAATTCACATTTTAAGGCTTCATTTTGTTTACCTTTCAATGTTGATTCTCTTGTTCCGAAACGTAGGTTCATTAAACTATCCCACATTTCGTCGTCAATGAGTGTGGTAACATTCTGTTCACAAAATTGTATTCGTTCCCTTAACTCAGCATATTTTTGTTCTAGTTTCGGTGTAAATTCACATATTTCTAATAATATGCTTTCATCTATGGCATCTTGTAAGGGTTTACTATTAAGTATATCGTGTAAGATCAATTTATATTTAAGTTCATCAAATATATGGCCATTTATTTTCATTGATATTTGCTTCACTACTGTTTCTAGGAAACATTTATACATTTTTTCTAATATTTTTTCATAAAGTGGCACGAGATTATTATCTGTATAGGACTTTCTTACACGACACTCACTGAAAAACGAAGAATCTCTTTTCGATCTCCATAACGGTAGCCAATAACTACAATCGCAGCACCTGAAGGTCAATTGTAACCGACGTATGGTACATAAATAATCGAGATCAAAATATCGACATTTACAGTCATTGACGGGCTCACTCCAAGTCGAGAAAATGAGAATTTTTCTATAATTACTGATATGATCACTTGTGGTGATCGACGTTGCTTGTATTTTTTTTTCTGTTGTCTGTTCAAGTCGGTATAAACATTCTAATAAGGATGGACAAAATATAGAAAACAATTTTGAGCAGTTTTGTGTACATGATAACGAAGATTTGTTTCAAATAGTTCATAACAACTAAGAATAAACATAATGAACCAATATACTTGATCGATTACTTTTCGATTTGTAAAATCATATTCTTCTTTTGTCATAGCAATGGCAAATCGAACAGCCATATCTTGAATATCAGATGGTAGATAAATAAATTGATACTGACCTAGTTTATCACCAAACTGAAAATTCCAAAAAATTTTCGAATCGACTTCTTCGAGAGTTGGACCTCTTTCAGATTCAATAGCAAGAAAATCCAACAGAGCAATAATAGCCAAAACATTATAATTTTTAGGTAGACGAATAAATATTTTTCGTATCGAATGAAATGAAATTGACTCAAGAACAAACAGAAAATCTCTGTAATTGATGTTAGAATCGAGTAAATAATATCCTTTACTGAGTTTAATTGAATCAAAACTAGGTCCAGCAGAGACCAATGCAGTTAAATAAGGAATTTTCTCGATTTGGTCGTCAGTCAGTGTCAATAGTTGACCTGAACTAAAACGAAATGTTTTAGTTGTTGTAGATGACTCCGTAATATGATCGTTCATGGAAGATCTTTGTTCACCGTTCGAAGATAAAAGTTGATAAAATGAATTTAGAATAGATGCAATATCAATTGGATTTCACTTACAAATAACGATGAAAGATGATTGTTTTCGAATGAATTTGTGATAAAAAGACACTTCTTCCCTCTTTGATAGGAGTGTGCAGCAAGTGATTAATCAGACGTCAGTCTTTCATTTTATTGCAGACATTGGAAATATCCAAAATGAAACCAATTTGGGTGTTTTTTTTCCAATCTTTTTCGTTCTCTTTATCTTGCTTTTTAAAATTCTGTCATTTGAAGGTATCATTACTCAGAGTTGTATGAATACGAACTATGGCGTACAAAAGTATATTCGTTATACAAAAATAAATAGCTCTTCTAAATTAGATGGATTCTATTATAAATATTCTGACAATTGTAAGAAAATTGTGGTGCTCTTTTTTAATTACTTTGTTCTTAATAATAACTTGAAAAATGATTCATGATTATCTTATGGAGGCCTTATCGTTGTATATTATGAAAGCCAATAGAAAAGTGAAGAAAAACTGTCGCTCTATGTCGTTTTACAAATAATTATGAGAAAGTTTTATACGATAGTACTTTTTGTTCTGCTATAGGTATATATTTCACATCAATTGCTTTCATCGAATTTTATACTGTTCTTAGTGAAAATTGATTTTTTTTCCTTAAAAATTGTTTACATTGCTTATATACTTGCAAAATGATAATGATTGTCTCCTAATCGACCAGTCATAGACGATGTTGAAAGAATGAAAAAAGTTATAACACTGCATATTTTCCTGGAAATTTCCGCTTCTGTCAATACATAAAACGTTTGAATAATAGTGTTGTATTTTAATTTATCGCCACATGTATCCAGTCCTAACTAAGCGTTTAAAATAGTTAAAACTGAGTTGTTTGTATGTCATTTTTAGAATTAGTTCTACATGGAAATTTTTTTTAAACATAATCACTGCTTAAAATTAAAATGACAACTCGATTTTAGCTTTTTTATGCTTTTAACTGTAATTGAAGGCAAAATTCTGTCATTTCTATACTTTCAAGGAGTATTGTTTAATTCAAGTAAGTTCAACGAACAGATAATGACCTGAGGAAATAGTGAGAAGTGTACAAACGTTGAAATTGAGTTTTAATCATGATTTTTCTGACGACAATGATGAAAAAACCGTTTTTCCTTTATTGCTTGTCGTATGTATTGAGATACAAATCATTCAACTTTTAATCCGTTGAAGTATTCTCTTTTAATTCTTTTAGAAATTTAGGCGTTCTCTAAATAAACAAGCTAATATTATGTTGCCTGAATAGCTAAGGAATATTTATAAAATTAAATGAACAGTATAGTTTTGTAAAAATGATGTGCATTCATGATAAGTCAGAAGATACTTCTCTACTATGTCAAGCATCAATAACTGTTTCATGTTTTCGAAGTTCATACGTAGTTTTAACATTGAAATCACATAATGATGAAATACAAAGCAATGAAAACGTTAAACAATAAATTTTGGACAGTCCTTTCAAATCCAAAATTTTGATTGTGCAATTCTCTCTAAACAGGAACCCATAATAGCAATCACTAAATTGACAAGAGCATTCATCGATGTTTCATTTTGAACTGAATACTTAGTAGTGCATCTTGTTGTGACATTTTTACTGATTGAAACTCGAAGCGATCGGTGAATGTCTCTTTTCATCTCTCTTGAGCTCTACATCACTAGCATTGGTTTCTGTATCAAAAATGACTTATGAAAGGCAAACACTTTCAATTCAACTTAAACTGCCTACCACTAAAGTTGGCATTGCTTAAAATGGACACAGGTCTTCTTCTTAGCGACGTATACGTCCATACCTTCTAGTGGTCGATCAAAGTTGTATACAGTTTCCTAATTGAATAAAACGTTGCAGTTTATTTTTTTTAGCAAAAACCGATCATTGATAGATTCGTGTTCAACGAAAAGAAAAATTAATAAACATATTCATTATCAATATGAAAGCCTCTTCTTCTAAGAAATGATATCAAACTTAAATTATCTATGTCACCAATTGGTATCTTTATTTCTCATTACCAATATTGCATTGTAAACTCGAACAAATACAATGTTTGACCTATCGAGAACAATAGTGAATATTCGCTGGCCTTAATGATATTGTTATATCTACTAGTGAAAGTTGCCGAAAAGAAGTCAATCTTTTTTCTTTGTCGACTGAATATGAATGTTTGTTATCACATGTGATAGCATAATATCGCTGAAAAGTTAATTTTGGGTGACATATTCATAACCACTCGAAATTGTAAGCTGAAAAGTGTATCTTGTGCACCTTGGAAAGCTCTATAAAACTGTCTACTAGTAATCATAAAAACATAATCCTTGAAAGAATGTAACGGTTATTGTGGATGAATCTCTACACTTTCATGCATGGCTCTACATAAGAAACTCCACTGGTCTCCTGTGAGAGTACTTTTAATTTTTGATAGATTCTCTACTTAACTCAGTTTTTTTTGCGCTAAATGTGAATATGATGATGAATTTTATTTTTAACGATGTGAACCTCGACAAAAACTAGTGAAATATTCATACAAATGTATAAAATTATAGAAACTCTGTGACTAACAAAGTGCATGGTAGCTACCTTCTTTTTGAAAATTTCTTGAACCTAGTTGTGTTTGTTTCATTTGATTTAGACATCCAGGAATGCAGTTTTTGACTTCAGTATCTGAAAAAAATCTGGCGTCATGTAGGTTTGTATAGAACAGATTTCGTGCTATCAAATGGTATATAAAACTTTTAGTATTGGTTACTTTTTAACAAAACAATATAGAGCGTGGGTGAATATGATTTGAGATGTGTCTTCTTTTCGTCAGTACACTAACAACCATACTCTTATAAGATTCAAATCAAATGGAAGAAAAGACAAAGAATTTTTTCCCGTACGCCTTCTACATCAGAGAAAAGGCGTTCTATCTCACTCGTAGTTAAAGCACTAGTTTTGCAGCAATAATTTAAGCAATTGAGCTTGGATTAAATTCATATGAACGAAAGTTTGTCGTTTTAAGTGTAGGTGCTGTTGTTAATGTCTGAGTGTGAGTGTGGGTATGGTTAAAGAGAAATGACACCCACACCCACATCCTCACACGCCCACATCCATTGTCAAATTTTCTACGCCCGTTTTTTGCTTACATACAGTGATTTCGGAGAAGTATATGGATCTGTTTTTCTACTGTTTTCTATGTAACATTCACTTTGGAACTTTCAATCAGATTGCTGTATAGTAGAGAAAAAAAGTCGGAAAAAACTCGAAAACGCCTTATTTTGAAGAAAATCGATTTTTCTATGATATTGCGTAGTCTAAGAAAAATAAAAATATCTCTTTCTCGATGATGAAAAAAATGACTTTCGTTTGCTGAAAATTTCACCTTTCAGAATTGGCTAATCGCTTTATTATATATTTTCACAGTGTATGCTTTTTCTGTATTTAAATTATTTACGATTACTAGAACGGAAAAAAAATTCAAAATAAACTGTGAACTAATTTTTGATAATTACTGCATACACACATAGTTTCGATTGGTTCACTAGTAATTTTGAAAGTAATATTTTTGATAAAGATTATACTATTTTCTGTAATAAAAAGTTTGAATTTTTTTCAGCAATCTCAATAAGTAATTTACTTTTTTTTCGAATGAGTAGTGACAAATATAAGAAAAAAATTAATTAAAAAACCGTACATATCTTCACCATTTCTTTTAATATAGGCTACACAGGCGAATATTATGATGATAGGATGGGTGGAAATTTAAATCCAACATATGTTCAAATCTACGGAAGTTATCCTGGTGTTGGCGGTTATGGTGGTGGATATGGTTATTCAAACAGAGGATATTACTAAAATTACAGAAATTTGAACTATATTTTGCTACACATTAAATCGATTTCGATTATGAAAATAATTTTTGAATAAGAATACGTTGCCTGAAAGATTATTCATACAAGAGATAAAAGATCATTGAATTTCGCACAACGGCATAAACTAGAGTATGACATAAAAATCTACAATCAATGATCTTTCAGTTAAGGAAAAATACGTTTGATTGCAATATACTGTGAAGTCATCTTAAGAAAGGAATATGCACTAAATCTATGAAAACAAAGGTTTTTATGATGAAATATCATAACCAAATTTTTATCAGAAGAAAGGATACGGGTGTGGGTAGGGCTGTCGAAATCCTCTTCACGGACACCCATACCCATACCCTTTTTAATTATTCTTTATAGCAAAGGTTATTGTTTGAAAAGTTTATTGATATTATCCTCTTTCAACACATCGGAAATCATGAAAATAAACACGAAAATATAATCAGTAAAACATTGAACAATTAGTAGTAAATCAATTATTCGTAGTTGAAATATAACATTATACTGCATTAGTCAGAAAATTAGTACTTTTGCAAAAGAGATTAGAGTCAAAGAAAAATAGTTTTTTAATTGAAACGTTTATTGTCTATGTACACTATTGTTAAAACATAGAATCACATGGTGAACGAAGTCAATTCTATCGAGTTGATCTGTTCAACATTTAACTAATTGTAAAATAATTCCATATTAGTATCATCTAATAAATATCAACTTATAAACATATTGAAGATTGTATCTTACTGTACTTTTTCTCCATGAAGACAACTTTTCAATTATCTTAATTAGGAGATGAAAAAAATTTATGATACAAAATGAGAGAGAACTACTGGCCTACTGTTCGTATAATTTCCATTTGACAGAAAACAGATCGGAACTCAATACAGAAACAAACATATTAATGAGAGGATCAATTAGAAATGATTGGAGCAATCCTTATTATGATATTTATATTATTCTTTCATATAATTCTGTCAATTTTTTCAAGTAGTGCAGATTTTTTTCGAATCAACTGAATTACTTGTGAATTTCTCTTAATGAAAACCAGATGACTCACAATCAAGTTATTTTG